GGTATATAAACATGTTTGTTGTCTTTATTTTTTGTGTATTCCCTGTATTGTATTGAACAAAATGGTTATGTGGCCCGCGCTCATCATTCTCTCAGCTATCTGGCCAGCTGTAAAAAAAAGTTTGGTGACCCCTGCTCTAGATTAAAATCCGTTCAACCTGATAATACCACAAAGCATCTCGATCGCATACCTTGCGCACCACTGCCGACGAAGCCTTTCATTCAACACCAGACGAAGTTCATCAGGTCGATTGGGAATGTAAAACACAAAGTCTTGATCGAAACACTACTTATATCAGCCAATATGCAATATTTGAATTATTACGCTAACGTCACACCAACTACCTATCAATAAATCACAATTCGCCACCATACGGCGTTAAATACTATAACTAGATGTACTTCAGAAAGTATTCTGTTCCAACAGTAAATAAAACCAAAATTAAGAGTAATAAATATTTTTATTTCTTGGTTTTAAAGTTCATATGCCATGCTATGTTGTATGCTACAAAGTTTATAATTCTTCTCGGGATTCATGGCATGCGCACGTTCTACTGACGTCACGACAGTACAAATTGCGACTTTAAGCGCCCTTATGTGACGTCATTTTAGTGTCTACTGACTGAGTGACAGACAACACATTACTGTATACTGGTGCGAGTAGTTAAAACAGGTGGCTCCTCCAGGCAGCCTTCGGCCCCTCTTCGGGGAAATAGATATATCTTCATGTTTCGCCCTCTAAGCCAATTTATTGTAATATTTTTTGGTAACATTTAGTATATATATATATATATATATCAAATAATTTACTTATATTGGGATAGCAGTGCATTGCCTAGGCCTAACGTTCTCGCTGCCCGTGTCTTAATGTAAATTATCTATGCACACATATTCGCTATTTTATGTACCATAGGAAAGTTATATTTGCACTTTTATATGTATTTACCAATACACATTCCGTTGTATTTACACAAAAACCATGTGATTTTATATCATTGCTATTGACACGATTTAAACGTAAATTAAACACGCTAAACAGGCCCTTGGCCCAACTTCCTAAAATGTTTTTAGTGAACTTGATGACTGTATATGTATACATGCGTAGTCTCTATATATAAGTTTTTGTTGATGCTACATGTATGTATAAAGTCCACGTTGATGTAAAATATATGTGTGTATGTGTATCCGGTGTACAAGTACTTATCAATAATTATGCATAACAACATACACTCATCCTGCTGTTTGCAATTTCAAAATGTTTCACTTCAACAAATCTGAGAGTTTTAAAATATTATTAAGAATAGCCATTGAAATATGTTACGTGACTTTTCAGCAAATTACTACGAAAAAAAAAATCTCTATGTAAAAGTTCTTAATAGTTTGTTAATTAGTTGAACAACACCAAACATTTTGAAACTAATCTCGATGACTTGTATGTAAGATGGTGTATAATAACCTAATGTTTGCGTATAATTTTAAAAAATATATTATAAAGCCAAGCAAATTACTTGTGTGTATATATATATATATATATTTACATATTACAAACAAGTCACAGTATTTTCCTCTTTTCAAAAAAAATATCGTAAAGCGGGTCACAATATTTACTTCAATTTTAAAATGTCATAAAAGACACAAAATGTATGTTATTAAAAACACCACGAACACAGTTGTGTTTTCTTTGAAAAATTACTTAAAATGCATCCAAACATTTACATCTGCCCCCCCCCCGTAGCACAGCGGTATGTCTGCGGATTTACAATGCTAGAAAGCGGGTTTCGATACTCGTGGTTGGGCAGAGCACAGATAGCCCATTGTATAGCTTTGTGCTTAACTTCAAACAACAATATTTACATCCAATATTTAAAAATACCATAAAGCGAACAAAAGTATCTGTGTCAACTGTACAATATATATATATATATCAGAAAATATTTTTATACACTTTGAAAACTAAAAACTAATTATATATTGTTTTATTATTTAAAAAAACATTTCTCCTCACTTTTAAAATATAAAATTAACTAAAATGTATGTATATCCATTTCAATCATAAAAGGGGTTAAAATACCGTAATTTCCTTAATTTGTTCACATGGAAATATGGTTACCAGATTTACATAGTGAAAAACTGACATTTTTTCTTTCCATACAGTGTGACACTGTAACAGCTCCGAAACAGTTTAAATTACAATAACACAATGCCCCCAATGGCACAATGGTATGTCTGCGGACTTACAACGCTAAAAACCGGGTTTCGATACCCGTGTTGGGCAGAGCACAGATAACCCATTGTGTAGCTTTGTGCATAAATTCAAACAAACAAACAATAACACCCTTTCTAACCATTTGCTAAATAATTTGATGTTTATTGCATTGCGTTTTAAAACTATAGACACACAATATTTGATAAACGTTTATATAGTTTGAAAATAGCGAATAAAAAAAAGCGCATAATTTGTCTCGAAGATACTCAAAAGAAAAATGTCTTCAAATCTCAATAGCTGTCCAATAACATGTTAAGTTAAAATCTATCTTTCTCGGGTGTTTCTTCAAGTAACATTTAAATGCTTGTTAATTTTAGATCATAGCTACATTTGGCTATCTGCTATGTCCACCGCGAGGAATCGAACCGCAGATTTTAACGTTATAAGTCCATAGACTTACCGCTGTCCCACCGGGAGACAAAATTTAATTGAGTCGTGTATGATAACAAACTGTACCTATCATATTGACCCTGAGGAACAGAGAAACTGGGATCATTTAATACTTTTACTGTTTGTGATCGACACAAAAAATAATGCTAAAAACTGGAACGATCCAAATTATACAGGACTTTAGGCAATCAACCCTACATAAGACTGAGCCAGATATGAACAGCTATCATATTGTGTTCCTGTCAAACTCATAAGATAAAGATGTCAATGAAGAGAAAAATAAGTCGAAAACTGGTCAAATTAATCTTCAGTTTTTAAATAATTTTACGTTAATGTATTGTAATTAAATAAAAGGCCAGAAAAACTAAAACTTACGTAAATCGATAGTGTAGCATCATCCTTGCTACCTGATGACATGCTACTATAGGTAGAATCATTTGTATACTTCCGGTTTCTTCCGTAATGAACAAACTCTGGTGTCCACTTTAATGTCCTTCCTGCCTGAAGACTGTGTTGAGGTCCGACTGTGAGTTTAAATCGAGTTGTTTCTTCAGGAGTTCCGTAATTTTCAAATTTCTGTCGTTTTCTTTTATCTGTAGTTTATACAATATCATTATATTGTGATCACGCAGTTATAACTACGTGTTTTCTTGATTATACTGCTATTCTTCGAGCAATGAAATAATTATGTACAGAAGAGGAAGCAAGAAACATTTTCTATTTCTTTAGCTAAATATATATACACATTTTGAAATGAGATGGAAAGAACAACCTACTGATTATGTTGATGCGATTTCTTTGTTCTTGGAAATTGCACGTTTCTTTTGTTTTCATAGATATAGATATAGTTATAATATGAAAAGACCCATAATGTTAATATATAAAGATCTATCAATAATATCATATACACTATCCTACCAAAAGTCATGGGACATGGGTAGTTACGAATAAAACATGTCTTTATTCCAAGAAATTAATAGCGTGTTGACCCGCCTTTGGCCTTAATGACTGCTTCAATGCGTCATGGAAGACTGTCTACTAATTTCTGGTAGAAAGCTGGTGGTATTGTGCTCCACTCCTCCTTTAAAACATTAGTAAGCTTCACTACGGAAGAGGGCCGTCTTGGCCTTGCCCTTATTCTGCTTTCCGGTTCATCCCAAATATGTTCTATCGGGTTGAGGTCGGGGCTTTGTGCTGGCCACTGTAATGTTTCGATGTTACTTTCTTCAAACCAAGCGTTCACAATCCTTGCTTTGTGACATGGAGCGGTATTATGTTGGAAGGTGTAAGGGTCACTATTATAAAATTGCCACAATGTAGGACATACAGAATTGTTCAGAACATTAATGTAGGACTCAGCATTTATGTATCCATGCACTGCGACCAGTGGACCTAGTTCATACCACGAGAAGCATCCCCAGACCATGATACCGCCACATCCAAACTTCACTGTTGGGACAACACACTCGGGTAATAAGCGTTCTCCAGGCATCCTCCATACCCAAACACATCCATCAGACTGGAAGAGCGTGTAGTGTAACTCGTCGCTCCACAGGACCGATTTCCGTTGATCCACGGTCCAGGCTCGGTGTGCCTTGCTCCATGCCAGTTGACTGTGCATTTGTTTTTGTTATCAACGGCTTGTGGGATGCAGCCCTTCTGTGAAAATTCATGGCATGCAGCTCTTAACGTGTTGTGGAAACTTATAGGATTGCCGTGGCTGCTCGCATCTCCAAACACAGATTCTCTAGGGTCTGATGGAGAGATGAGGTACTCAGCCTTCTCAAGGGGCGTCGGCTACTGTCAGTTAGTGTTTTACGCCTTCCTGGTCGTTTCTTGGGCTAATTGTCACCTGTGGACTTCCATTTCTTCAACACATTGCCAACTGTCGACCTGGGAATGTTTAATTGTTGCGCAATAGCACATACAGACATTTTCCCCAAATGACATCCAACTATCCTTCCCCTCTGAAACCTCTGTTAGCCCTCTCCGTGTACTCATTTTTATAGGTTAAATCATTTGTATGTTTCATCATCACACCGAGTTTTCTGCAATCAGAGGTGTGTTCCATGACTTTTGGTAGGATAGTGTACGTACCTGATGTATATATTAAATGAAATACTGAGAATTTATTCAGATCTGTCATAATGGCTGACAGATATACGACTAATGCAATGTTAAAATTGAGTTTTATAATGCCTAACTTATAAGTTTGCATATTTCAAGTTTTCGCACAAAGCAAGAGCTATCTGCACATATCTCTACTTAATTATGAACTTTTAGTTTAAAGGGAAAAACAACTACTATTTCTTGGACTACCATTGTATGACCGAATATTAGGTTTTACCTATCATACTTATAAGAGATTAAAAGAAGTGCAAAGCGTGTAATCTGTATCTAGAAATACAAAATGTATTCATCAATATGATAAATCAAGGCGATATCAGGAAATTGTATTGTTATTTTCATCCTTTTTTGTCGAATGAATAATGATTCGTTTTTTGACTTGAAAAATTGAGACAACAAAAAATCCACACAAATATTAGTGTAGAATGAATGAAAAGTTAAATTCTTTAAATAGTCTACGCTAATTATTAGAGTTATCAGAATGCATAACAAGAAGGAATCCTCAATAGCTGCGGCACTTGAAATTATTTTAAGCAGGATTAGACTAAATTAATCAATGAGATATTTTTTTCTTCTTTTTATTAGCTATATTTTTGTGCGCCAGGGTGCGCGTATACCCGATTCTATTTTATTACTCATCAGAAACTTTACTAGCCTACCCTCAAATTGAAATTCTCTTAGGCGGAATTAGAATAAATTAATCCATGAGACCTTGGGCGTGGTCAAGTACATCAATCGAAAGGGTTTGACCTCCTGAGTCCAAAACTGTAATTATATCTCAATTCGATCAAGAGATGACGGAGCTATGAGCTAGAAGTTTGTACTTAAGAAACTCAGAGCCATTCTACGAGCCGCTATCCCGCGGCTAAAACAACCAGTAGCATAAACTTGTAGTAAATTGAGTTGTTACAAATGCTTTACTAACAAGCGCTAGGAGAATAGGACTTTAGCTCAGTTCGTGGAGCACTCATCTAGCTTAAATCTGAGGAGAGGCAATATATATCATGAAAATATACCACAGGATAAGCCTGGATCCAGCTCCTCTCCCTTGTAGGGGGAGGGGCAGTGGAGCTTTTGTTGACTCTTCTTATCAATTTAGAGAATTCACACGATATTTGAAACTTGTCAATATTATTTTTTAAACGGCAAGGGTGAATAAATTTGGTTGGGCCAGAGTGAAATTTCAAGATGCACTGCCCACCCCAGCATCCCCTAGCGTCGGCTCTGCCACAGGCTCATCTACACACTTATTTGTGTGCCCGTTTAAGAAACTCTTCATTTGAATTTCAATAGACATGGAATGAAATATGTTGAATTTCTAATCAGTATAAACACGAGCTGTGTTATAATAATGCACACTACGTTCTTTCAAGTAATAATATGTTTATTAGAAATATTTGAAAGCTACTGTGATTTACCTTTACAAAATATTTGAATCAATGGACGTAACTTCAGAAATTATGGGATATTTGAAGCCATAGGTTACGTACTTCTTAGTAACACACAATGGTTTACCTTCGTTGTAAACCTTTCAACGTAACCGTTTTAACGCTGAAGGTATTGTCTTACATCATAACTTCGTAAAGTGTCAAAAAAAAGTTTAATTAAATCTACTCACCGAACCTATCTTCTTTATATAAGCAGTTATGAAGCCAGCAGTAGGGTGAAACAACACACACAGTAACGATGATAGTAAGGCTTAGCAATCCCAGGCAAATACCGATCACCATTACTTTTTCACTCTCCGTCAAATGCAACACGGAATCTGTAAATAACACAACAATCTTGTAATGTATCCCACGAATAACGAAACATATTACAGAAATAAAATGTCATAATGTCGAGACAATAATGCTGCTTCAAGTTTGTATAAAGCTTTTTAAACCTACGTAATCCGATGATCTAGTGACTTTAAAATTTCATGACCTGTTCTTTTGTCAATCATATGACATTTTTATACAATCAAAACCTTTTAAAATTCCAAGCGTTCGCGCATTTTAGTTATCATCCAAAGTTCGTGGTGTGATTCTCAGATATTAACAGGGTGCTAGCCCCCGTCCTATTTGGTTTAAACTGTGTTTCAAGTATTCAAACTCGTGTGTGTTTGTGCATGTGTAGGTATGTCTGTTTGTGTGTGTGTGTGCGCGCGCGCGCATCTGTAAAAAGGAATCACTTCATAATTCTAGCCATTTATAATCTTTGAACACAAGACATTAGAGAATAATGATCTTGGTAATAAGATGATAAATTCACTATATTTTCACATTTTACGACCTGATAAAGATGGTCCAAAATGATATGCCTGACCTTCAAAATGATCGAAAATTATCCAGAATATAATCATTTGGAGAAAGTTTAAAAGATATTAATAAACAACAAGGTTACTCAACTGATGAATCATTGTATTCTAAAGGTTTTGTTTTTTAACACTCCATACTCCTAGTTAAACCGGTTCACTGTTAGCTCTGAACTATATTTACGTAACTTCTTTGATTCGAAATTATCAGTAGCTTAGCCTAGTTTGAACAAACTCTGCCTTATACTGATACGAATAATCTCTAGTGTGGCTTTACCTAAGTTATTTACAACAGAGGACTGTTGAGGAGATATTTAAAATACCATTTCGATGAACAATCCGAGCTATTCCTACATAGACAGTGCTACCGCCTGTCCGATAATAATATGTATATATATACATATACATATCAGATTTTATTTTAATTTATGGTATCATTGAAATTAAACATGAGAAACTGGTATAATAATTAGTTTATTATACTGGCGTCTTGTTCGAATTATGTTACGAAAATGTGTATTGCCACTGTTAAGAATGTATCGTATTGATGAGTCGAATCTTTTCGAAGTTCAAACTTTAAGTACTTTTGTTGTAGAAAGCAGTCGGTAATAACAAGTTTCGTGATATCACGTAGACGTCCAAGCTCTATACAAGGAATGTATAAACAAAAACTAAAACAACTAAATTTAAACCGAATAATGTTTATAAATGATACAGAACACGAAACTCAATTCTTTTGAGTTTAAATAAAACTTCAAAATGCACGAGTCTTCTTTCATATTTTGTAACACCTGCTAAACAATGGGCACACAGTTTAGAAGCTATTTTTAAACATAAGAGAACCTAGTATTTAGATGCATTGTTTATTTGTTGTTAATTACAAAGCTACACAATGAGCCATCTGTGCTGTACCCACCACAAGTATCAAAACCTGGTTTCTTGCGTTCTAAGCCTTACGGCTGAGCCACTGGGGGAGGAGGCATTCATATGCATGAGCACAAACTAATATTATATGTACGGTGTTTTTATAGTCGTTTACTCACCACAATGGATCTATATTTAAATAGGATTTCAAGAATATGTAGCATTGATGCTATTAATTTATTCTTTTGAATTATTCGCAGACAAGCTGTTTAAGATATTAAAAATAAATATAAATTCCAACTCTTCACTGAATTAAATGTCAGTTTCGGGTAATGCCACTCCTCATCAATAACCCAGGACGAGGGCAAATTGAAAAACAAAGCTAGGCTTCTTATAGTGGTGGATTGCATATTAACTGTACGATGGTTTTAATTGTCTACTATTCGCCACGGCAAACCTTTATTTGTTGAATATTTGAAACAAAATAATGTCTAGTTCTATAAAACAAAATATAAACAAATAAAGGAAAACAATTATTCTAAGATTGAAAAATAAATCAATATTTAGTTCTATAAAACGAGATAACAAAATTAATTAGACGTAACATTAATGATAAATTAAACTTTAGACGAAAAAATGAATTAATCCTACGACTTAGCAGAAAATGACATTAGAAATAACTACCTAGCTTAATCGGAGGCTAAATATAAAGACAAAGGAATAGATTTGAGAAAGTCAACTTGACAGCATAACTGTGACGTTGAATAGCGTGGTTATTTGTGTTGAAACATTAGGCCTAACTAAGTGCTCTGTTGACATTTTTAACTATACGTATAAGTGTTTCTGTTAACAGCTATTAAAATAAATCTAAGATTTTGCTGTTAAAGAACATTAAAATTCAAATGTTAAGTATATATATATAATGATCATTCTATAAAATTTCTGATATAGTAGCAATGATCTTTAATGAAATTATGAAATATGAAACCGTAAATAAATATATCGAATGTTTCAGAGCTTGATGACCTGTGTAAAAAAGAGAAAAGGGAGAGAGAGAGAGAGAAACTATGTTTGACGATTTTCGATTATTTAAGCTATCCCTGCATTAAATTTTATACAATTTTGGGGAATTCCAGTTTTATGTGTTTTTGACACGAAACTTTGAATACGATACATTTAGAAAGTCATCATCGAGAAACAGTTTCGTATGTATAATATTTTAAACAAAGTCACGAGATCCTAAAAAACGTTTTCAGAATATGTGAATAAATTATTTTAAACGCCTAAGACCCAGTGAAAGGTACTGCTGGACAAATAAAACCCAGTGAAAGGTACTGCTTGACAAATAAAACCCAGTAAAAGGTACTGCTGGACAAATAAAACCTAGTGAAAGGTACTGCTGAACAAATAAAACCCAGTGAAAGGTACTGCTTGACAAATAAAACCCAGTGAAAGGTACTGCTGGACAAATAAAACCCAGTAAAAGGTACTGCTGGACAAAGTTAATTAAAGCATTAATGTTGCCATTAAACATTTATTATATTAATTTTCAGCTGTGTATTAGTGTGATATAATTCGTTGTGGTCATTTTACCCTTGAATTTGATCTTACACGTTGTCACAGGTAATTTTTTATATTCTTACTTTCTGAAATATTATTCCTGAAATGTACACAGTCAGATACTTATTTAATGTACAGTTTTAGTTATTGTCTATAAAGATTTCTGTTTTGAAAAGAAAAATGGTGTGTCTAAGATAGAGTTGCCCTCTACAAACACACACACACACATATATATATATATATAAACATATTTGTTTTGTAGTAAATATGGCTAGAAATGAAATATAATTTTCTGATAGGCTGAAATAATAAATTATAAATTAGTTACGACCTTCATTTCAGTTGAGAATCTTTAAAAAGTTATTTCATTATTTTTAATGTTTTTGCACTCTAAACCCTAAAATTATTATAAAGTTTAAAAATAAGACAATCTGTAATTTATTGAAACATACGAAACATAGTCCAAAATACTCAAACACTTCAGAAACGCGATAATAAATATTATTTAAAAAATTACTTCATGAATAATATGAAGTACAGGTGTTTCACAAATTTGATTGTTTTTACTTGCCTCCCCTACTTCATTCTGTTCAATTCTTTACCAACCTTTTTTTTAAAAAAAATACTAACATGAATATTAAAAGTGAATCATACAATAAAATAACTAAACAAAAGTTATTGTAGATGTACAGGTAAAATATTAACGATTATGATTTGTTTGTTTCGAATTAAGCACAAAGCTATACTATGGGCTGTATATGCTCTGCCCACGACGAGTATCGAAACCCGGTTTCTAACGTTGTAAGTCCGCAGACTGGGGGGCAACGCTTATGAAAGAACAAATTATTAAGGAATTAATAACATTGATATTCTTTTCATTCTGCCCCCCCCAGTAGCACAGCGGTATGTCTGCGGATTTACAACGCTAGAAAACGGGTTTCGATACCCGTGGTGGGCAGAGCACAGATAGCCCATTGTGTAGCTTTGTGAATAATTTCAAACAACAACAACTTTTAACTCCTGGACTGTCGTATTAAATTTGTGAATTGGAAAAACAAAAACTGGACAGGTTAGTATTGTATTTTCTATATAGCAAGAGAGAATAACTTCGAGAAGAAATGTTTGTATTGAGATTTATGCAATAAGTATTTATCATCATAAAATGTTTGTAATATGTAATTAATTAAAATATAAACACAGTTTCATAATCCAGTTGCCCGGCATGGCCAGGTGGTTAGGGCGCTCGACTCGCAATGTGCGGGTCGCGGGTTAGAATCCCCGTCCCACCAACCATGTTCGCCCTTTCAGCCGTGGGGGCGTTATAATGTGACGGTCAATCCCACTTTTCGTTGGTTTTCTAAATTTTTATTTTGTATACCAATTTAAGAAAGAAAAAGGTGTTTCAATATAATTTACAGATATTTGAATTTGTTTTTTGTGTGTCATTGTTTCTGAGAAATTATATTTTAATAATTTCTTTTTTTTTTTTTGGTTGTTCTGGCACAGGTTGAAATGTATCATTGTTTGTTAGGGATTAATGCAAGAATAAGAAAAAAAAACAGCTTTTTGATTAGCCTTTGGTTCGTGATAATAACTATAACACTTTAAGTAACCATTTAACGCTTATTTAGCATAACCTTAAGTCATGAAACTCATTGGTTCTAAACTTTGGAGGAAATTATCATGCCTTTTGCACTGCCAAAGGGGATTCAGATAGATGTACGCCATCAATAACACGTAAAGTATTACTATAACTTCATGTTATAACACTTAGTTCAAGTATAATTCCGCAACCAAAGCTCTTAAGTATCTTAATCAACACCAAGATAGGTCTAATCAAACCAATGTCGAAAACAACTTTGTATACGCTTTAATTATTTCTAGTAAAATAATAAAATGTGATGGTGCCCTTAGGGTTCCGTTTAATCTGAATTATATTTTCATAAAACTTTGCAGAGATTGAGTTTTCAAAACTCTTCGCCCATATTAAATAAAATTTCTGATTAATGAAGTATGCATACCTTCCAGTTACTGTAAAACAAACCAATTACTTAAACTGCTTTCAACATCAATGTTTATCTCACTTTTGTAAATTTTCGGTTTGATTTGTTGAATTTCGCGTAAAGCTACAAGAAGGCTATCGGCGCTAATTTAGATGTGATAGAAAACAATAGAGAAGGCAACTAATAAACACCACCCACCTAAAGTTCTTAGGATACTCTTTATCGACGAAAAATTTGATTGATCCTCACGTCATAACGCCCCAAAGGCTGAAATGACAAGCATGTTCGGTAAACGGGTTCTAACCAGTGACTCACAGATTGTGAGTCGATTTGTTTGTAATTAAGCACAAAGCTACACAATGGGCTATCTGTGCTCTGCCCACCACGGGTATCGAAACCCGGATTCCAGCGTTGTAAGTCCGCAGACATACCGCTGTGCCACTGGGGGGCGTTGTGAGTCGAATATCCTAACCATCAACCCAGTCACATTTCCAGAGTTTTCCTTAGTTGTGACTTCGAATACTTTTTCACTGCTATATACATATACTGTAAATAATCCTAGACCAACATACCACCCGAAATGTCCAATCGAAAAGAGTCGAAAGCTGTTTAGAAATGCATGTTTTCGAATAAAATAAATTACTTTTCAATAAATGCATGTTATATATGTTCAGTATTTCTGTATGAACTAAATACTATAATCTTCGAATGATATTAGACAAGTAAACAGTGGTTCGTGTGTATTTAATAATGGCTAATGACGTAATAACTTTCCATAAAGTAGCAATAAGGAGTTCAGTCAAGAGAAGTCATTGAAACAGTGATTTTTTTGAACTTACGACTTAAAGCTTGTTCCAAAAACATGACAAACATCACAAATTGGTATCAATAGCAGCAACGTCATCGAAGTAAAATATACAGTAAAAAAATGGCTGAAGTACTAATTCAATTCATATGCTTGTTCAGAGGGCAATTCAAATTTTGACTTATCAAATAACGCTGCAATGATGTTCGATCACAAGAAAACGATTTTCTGTTATTATAAAATATAACAAACAAAAAGTGCCATTTTTTTGCCTAAAATATTTGTTACGAGCAAGAAGTACTTAGGCTTTAAAATGGTTGACCAATTACCCTAAAGTTGTCGTCATTTTACGTCATCTTTGTTAACAATGGATATTTTTGTAACATTAAAACAAAACAGTAAGACTTTCATAGTTTTAGGCAACACATCTTTCTCACCCAATTCTGCTTTCCCCATGATTTGAACTGAAGCTTGACGTTCACAACACCGTATCCATAAACGGTAGAAAATATTTGAATTGTTTTCTGTATTATTGTTTCTTTTGGGGGAGGCTTATGTGCTATGCTAACTATGACCGTTGAATTCGAAAATGAAACAACGACTTTCCCTGAGGGTTGTGCCCGGCATGGCCAGGTGGATAAG